TCACTTTTAAAAAATATTAATTTACTTTAAGCACAATAATTTACAATACTGTTAATGGTAGGGCTTCACCTATGCAGTGTTTCAATACTACTGGATTTTCGTTAAACTTTGCTCTAGAAGTCTACTGATGAGCAACTCCCTTCTGATAGAGCCTGATTTTTCCACCTAATGATAACTCAGTTGAAATGGTTTCACAGTTTCCTTATACTAAGGAGTTCAAATAGGTTCCTATTCCTTATGTTTCTAGACAAATAAATGTATTCTTATTTTTATATAATTAATTATTTATGGGATTATGGACTGTACCCAACTGTACTCAGGACTTTCTTCTAACTCTATGCATGGAGATCATTTCATGGTAGTGCCCAGGGGACCACATGCAATGTTGAGTATTAAAGTACCAAGTATTTCCTTATTTTCCTTCATTCTAATGGTCCATATTTGTCTCTGTGCCTGTAGTAATTTTACCTCTTCTCTCTCCTATCTTTCGGTGAAGCTGAAAGACAACTAGCCTGGAAATAGCTGTAGTGGGAAGGGGTCAAAGCCAAAATTCTAGAAATTGATTTGGATTTTTGAAACTGCTCAGGCATAGTAGAGAATGTTAATTACTAGACCACTAGAAGGTGATGGTGACAGAAGTAACAGTAATAATAAAACTTCATATGTTAAAGGAATAAAAGTCTATATTTCAGAAACTGCATTATCTCATTCTTATATCTGAATGTAGGTGGATAAATTAATTCTAAGAGATATGATGATTTACCTAAATATGTATGGAAGTCATACAGTAAGATTAAATAAGTAGACCAGAGGCTATAACAAATTCAATCCAAATCCTGTTTTCTTTACCATTCTTTTTTTTTCCATTCACTTCTGGAGTAAATGTAGATTTGTTATAATGCATAATCGAGACAGCAAAAAGGAAAATGGAAATCAAGGACTGATATGTTCTATCTCTCTTCCATACCACCTTGCCTCTCAGAGAAGCAAAAAACCAAAAAAGCTACTGGATGACAGTAAAGTATCAGATATTTGTTTTTATTTCCTACTAATCTATATTTCTACTTCTCTTTCCTCTTTTTCTATGACTCATAAGGAGAGAACAGTCTTGGTCCTTTTTGTTTCCTGGTAACACAATATGGTGCTCAACATCATAAGATAAAAACAGAATGAATAAATGCGTATGTGAATTCAACACATCCATACATGAGGATTCTCAAGGATGCAATTTGGGATGCAGTTTGTCTGGACTGCTTTTCTTCCTTCATCAGAGTGCATCCACTCATGACACAGTAGACCTTGGATCATAAAAGAAGGTAAGTATCCTCTTTTCTAGGTAAAATACTAGAAAACATAAAAGAAAAATTGTTATCAGGCAATTTTTCAGACAAAAATACAAAATGAAAGAGAGTTTGAGGCAGAGTTTGCCCACAGATACTCCAGGGGCAGACATGGAATTACTCAGGAGGCTTGAAAGATGAGGAAGGAGAAGAAACTGTTTTTTGTTCCTAAATTCAGGATTATTTTGTATAATCTTATTTGTGTAATATCTCCTGTCTTATAGATGAAATTTTACATTAGCTGGACTTTATGTAAATGTTTTACTTGCTAAGGCCATACAATTAGGAAGTTGTCGATACAGGACTGAGTTCAGAGGTGCTGGATTCCAGCCCACGAATGTCCTATACTGCCCTCACCCTGTCCTCTTACTTTTCTTTTTCATTTTTTTCTACTTTTTATTTTTCCAGTAGCCTTGAGTATAAAAAGTTTATAAATTTCTACAAATAAATATTTCTTTTCTATTATCTTTTTGGAAAACAGATGTGTTTAAAACTGACTCCATTTTTTTTTTTCATCTAAGACACATATCTTTCAGGGGTAATTGAATATTGCCAAAGGGTGATTGCTTCCTATTCCAAAGAGGACAGGTAAAAACAAAGTAAGTGAATGTCTATGGCACAAAACTAGCAGACAAATCGGTAGTAATAGGGGCCACAGAAAAGTAACAAGACCAGAAAGGGACATGGTCAGGAAAATACTGAAGAACACTGCTCTAAAACATTGTTTTTCAAATAATATTTTTAAAACTATGTTTAAAATAGAAAGACAGAAAAAACTCAGTAAGGGTCTAGGATGTAGCTCAGTAGTAGAGCTCTCGCCTAACATTTTGTTGTCTTGTATTCAGTTCTAGGTACTACTGTTAATTAATTAATTAATTAAATTACTTGCACCATGCATTTATTATAATGGATGAAATTTGTCCCTGAAAAGTCCTTATGTTCAAGATCTAATTCTTAATATCTGAAAATGGGTCCTTTAAGGAGAAAACAAAGATTAAATGTGGCCATAATTGTGGGGTTCAAATTCTATAAGAACAGAAAGAAAGACAGAACTCTTTCTCGCTGTGGGAATACTCATAGAGAGACAACCTAGGGACACAGTCAGAAGCCTTCAGACTGCAGACCAGGAAAGTGTACGAATAGAGACCTATCCAGTTGGCACAATTGATCTTGGATTTATAGCTCCTAGAGTTGTGAGAATATAGGCTTCTGATGTTGAAACTAACAGCCTGTATCTTTTCGGCTATTGTAGCCTAAACAGGCTAATACAGTTGCTAAGGGCAGAACCTAGTATATAAAAAAATGTTAATGCATGGTATAATGGTGCAGATTAAAAACAATGAGAAAACAATCCATAGCAAGCATACATAGGATAAAAAATATCACTAATTTATTTTCAATAATTAAACAAATTAATTATTAAACAAATTATTGTTTAATTATTGAGTTTTATTATTATTGAAAAAACAAATTATTGAGTTTTTTCTGTCTTTCTATTTTAAACAGTGCTACAGTGTACAAGGCTAATTAAACAAACAAAAAATCTCTCAAGCAAGCAGACAGGTGATATAAAGATGCACCTCAGGGTAAAGTAGGAGAATCTTGTAGAAAGAGTAGACAAAGAGTAGAAAATGCATTTGATGGTTGGAGATACAGTACAGAAGGTATGGTGCTTGCCTTACATACATCTGACCAAGTTTGAACTCTGGAATGACATATAATCCCCTAGAGTTCAGAGCCAGGAACAACCCTGGCCACAGCTGAAGTAGAAAAGAAAAAAGAAAGAAGAGGAGGAGGAGAAGGAGCAGGAGGAGGAGCATTATGAAGAAGAAAAATTAAATAGTTTCACATAAATACTCATTAGGATGGGGTTCAAACAGCATAATGAGAACATCAAACCAGAGTATTCCAGTTCCTCTTTCCAATGTTATTTTTCCTCAGACTCACTTATATTAGCAGCAACAGAGGCTGTAGCGCTAAAATCAAACAGGCACTGTTGAATATCCACACATAAGGCTCTCTTGATTGCGCTTCATACTAAATCTACCGGGCTGGAGCGATGGCACAGCAGGTAGGGTGTTTGCTTTGCATGCAAGCTACCAAAAGTATCCCATCCTCGTGGCAGAGCCTGGCAAACTCCTCATGGTGTATTCAACATGCCAAAAACGTAACAACAAAACTCACAGTGGAGTTGTTACTGGTGCCTGCTCGAGCAAATCGATGAACAATGGGAAGACAGTGCTACAGTTCTATTAAATCTACCACAATACAAACTCACCAGGACTTGTTATAGATTCACATGCATAATCAGCATTAACTAAAAATGGGAGGACACAGCAGAATACATCTTAGGAACTGTGCATTAAAGTTCAGGAAAAATGATTGATTGCAGAGCTATTTCTTTTGAGAATCCTCCACCACCAAAAAGCCTTACTTACTGTCTCTCTACTCCAAGCAAACTGTACTTGTAAAAAAATTAAGTTGACTATTATTGACTTGAGCTTAAAGTGAAGAACAAAGGAAACATGTACTGCAAACAAACAAATAAACCAACAAAATTCTACTGAGTTGAATTTTGTCCTAGTAGGAAGAACCTTTGATTGCCCATTCTGGAGTCAGGCACAATTACGGGGACAATTACGATTCTAGGTACACTTGTCCATAAGAGTAAACTATGTCGAACCATGACTTACTTAAGCCTGCACTATTTCTGTTTTGCTTTTTATTGAATCACAAAGTTACAAAGTTATCATGATTCATATTAAATGTATAAGGTCTTTATTTCATTTGATTTGAATTTTGTTCATAGCCTTAGAAAGTGATCTCTTATTTTTTTAGGGGGAGGGGCAAATGGTTGACCAGTTTTCCCAACACATTTGCTAAAAAGATCTGTTGAGGTGTGTCATGGTGATAGCCATCATCCTGCTCCATAACTTTTTCATCACCTGAGACCCCTTCCTGGGTCTCCTGGACCAAGGAAGCCTTCCCATTGCTCTCTTGAACCCTGAGCATGACCCAAGGACCCAGAAAATTGACTCTGGTCTCTTTCATCACTCCGGTATGTCTAGCTCTCATCCTGCCTGGTGACTTCTGTACTATCTGTGACCCCTTCTTGGGGTCCAAGAAAGCCCCACCCTCAGGCCTCTCAAACTCCAAACCATCAGACATGACAACATCCCTCATCCTCATTGTCTTCAAGGGGTCATATATTTCCTGAAATGTGTGTATTTTAACCCTTCTATAAAAAGGATGGATTAAGACACTGAACTGAATGATCAACAAAGTAATATCCTAAGGACACAGTCTTTGCTAGACTAATCAATTATAAAGAGTACTGCTTGATGAAAAATAACATATTAGATCGGACCTCAGATATCTGGCATCTTAAACTCAAATTGGAGCACTCACAAGTCTTTAGGAATGATAATGAAACAAAAGATTTCACCTGCTTTGAATGACAGAGAAAAGAGTCCCGGCAAATCATAAAGCTCAAATAAACACTCAAACCTCATTGATGAAGAACTCAAAACAATGTTTCATACAATGGCCATGTAACTAAAGCAATCACTGGAAGAAAAATTCATTGGACTTAAAGATGAACTGATCCATGGTATCAAAAAGTCCATACAAATGGAATTAAAGGAGTTAAAAAAAACATATCAGACAATATTTTCAGAGATCATTTCAATAGTTCGGTACTAGAGAAGTTTCTATGATCCTGTGAAGCATCCAAAACTACAAGGAGAAGCCAGAGTGTTCTCTCTGAGTGTGAAGACTCTAGATATTGCTTTTACAACTTGCCTTTTATTGCTGATGATCGTTCTTTTCTTCCTTTGGAAGAGCGTGAGCGAAAAAATTTAGTCTGAGTGGTTTCATGAAAAATAAGATAGCAAGTCACAGCAACAGAATATACGGAAGATCATATTAGTAATACGGAAGACAAAATACTAGCAATAACCAATAATGAAGTGGAAAAAAGTAACAAATGGAAGCTAATGTAAGATTCTTGATAGATAATGGCAAGAGGAAAAATCTTTGAGTCATAGGAAAACCAGAAGGAGAGGAAAATGGTAAAGGGAAAGAAAAGTTGATCAAAGAAATAATAACTGAGAACTTTCCTGATACTTTGATAGGAAGCCTGTATAGATGCAAGAGAACTAAAGAGTTCCAAACAAAATATACTTGGAGAAAATAATGCCAAGACACATAGTAATCAAAATGATAAAATTATAAAGACATCAGTGATTTTACTTAAAGATGCCAGAGAGAAGAAAATGCTTAAATATAAGGAAAACAACATAAGATCACAACAGACCTTTCATAAGACATCTTACAAGCCAGAAAAACATGAAAGGACATATTCAAAGTACTGACTGAAAAAAGTCATTCAACTAAAGTCCACTACCCTGAAAAGCTATCATTTGGGCTTGAGGGAGGGATATGAACCTTTTCAGACAAACAAGAGCTGGCAGCATTTTCAACAACTAAACAAATCTTGCAAGAATTACTGAAAGGCCACTTATATTAGAAATAGACTCTTGCAGAAACAACTGGATCACACAAACACTGGGCAACACAGGGCTTTCTGTCAATAATCTCTCTGAGTGTCAATGGACTAAACTCCTCTATAAAGGGGCATAGAGTAACTGGATGGTCAAGAAAGAAAATTCATCATTTTGCTGACTACAGGAAACACACCTGAACTACCTAAACTCTCAGGATAAATACAGACTTGGAGTAAAAGATTGGAAAATAATTATACAAGCCTGTGGAAAACATACATACACAGAAAAGATGGGACAGCCATCCTTATATCACATCAAATTCCATTTAATATAAAGAAAGCTATTAGAGATAAATCATAGAGGGAAAAATATATATGCCTCTCAAGAGAGCTCAGCAAACTACTTGAGAGTATCTTGCCCACACAGCAGAGCCTGGAAAGCTACCTGTAGAGTATTCAATATGCCAAAAACAGTAATAATAACAGGTCTCATTTCCCTGACCCTAAAAGAGCCTCCAGTATGGCAGCATTGGGAAAGACAAGTAAGGAGAAACTGCTAAAGTCTCAGAACTGAGATGAATGGAGACATTACTGGTGCCCACTTGAGTAAATCAATGAACAACTGGATGACATTGATACAGTGATTGAGATAATGATGGACTTATTGGTCAAGGGAACAATAGCTCAGGAAATACTGTGCTCAATACCTATGCACCAAATGAAGGCTTAGTAATGTTCATAAAGCTTCTGCTCACAACCCTAAAGAAACACATTGATGGAAACACAATGGTAGAAGACTTCAACACACCACTTTCTTCACTAGACAGATCAACTAGATAGTTGATATCAGTAAAGAGACAAGGGCCCTAAATGAGGAGCTGAAACAATCAGGATTGTTGGACATATATAGGGCTCAACATCCTCCCAAACAAGGATAAACATTCTTCTCTCTTGTGCCTGGAACATTCTCCAGGATAGATCACATATTAGGGCACAACTAAAACAAATTATCAACTCAAACAAATAGATCACATACTAGGGCACAACTCAAAAAAAAAAAGGTTTTGCCCTTTTGGAAAACAGTATGGACGATTCTCAAAAAATTAGAAATTGAGCTCCCATTTGACCCAGCAATAGCACTCCTGGGAATATATCCCAGAGAGGCAAAAATGTATAGTCAAAGTGACATCTGCACTTGTTTGTTCATTGCAGCACTCTTTGCAATAGCCAGAATGTGGAAAAATACTGAGCGCCCAAGAACAGATGACTGGTTAAAGAAACTTTGGTACATCTACACAATGGAGTACTATGTAGCTGTTAGAAAAGATAAAGTCATGAAATTCACATACAAGTGGTACTACATGGAAAGTATCATGCTAAACGAAATGAGTCAGAAAGAGAGGGATGGACATAGACAGATTGCATTCATCTGGGGGACATAAAGTAACAAAATAGGAGACTAATACCCAAGAATAGCCGAGATCAGTACCAGGAGGATTACTCCATGGCTTAGAGACCAGCCAGGCATGCTAGGGGAAAGGGCACCTCAGATAGAGAAGGGAGCACTAAATAAAGGGTGTTTGGAGGATCCTCCCAGGATGGGAGATGCATGTTGAAAGTAGACGATGGACTGAACATGATTGCCACTCAATGCCTCTTTTGCGGACCACAACACCCAAAAGCAGAGAGAGAACAAAAGGAAATGCCCTGCCACAGAGGCAGGGTGGAATGGGGGAGATGGGGGTGGGAGGGATACTGGGATCCATGGTGGTGGAAAATGGGCAGTGGTGGAGGGATGGGTATTTGATCATTGTATAATCGAAACCCAAGCACAAAAATTTGTAAGTCTACAACTATACCTCATGGTGTTTCACTAATAAATTTTTTTTAAAAATTACAAACTGGAAATTATAAAACTACCTGCTCAGACCTCAATGCCATGAAAAAATGAATTAAACACAGAAAGAAGATGGTGAAAACTTCAACATGTGAAAGCTAAGAAAACACTGAAAAACGATGACTGTATTGAAAAGAAAGTTGAAGACGAAATAAATATGTCTTGAACTGATAAGAATGAAGACAAAAGCTACCAGAATTTATGAGATATAGCAAAAGCTTTTAAGGGGAATGTGTGTGTGTGGGGGGGGGGTGGATTTATAGTAATGTAGTCCTACACTAAATTTAAAAAAAAAAAAAGCCCAAATCAACAACCTAAAATACATCTCAAAAATCTGGAGAAGAAAAAACAAGAAAATCCAAAAGGTAGCAGAAGGAGGAAAATAATGAAAACCAGAGTGGAAATGAACAGTATAGAAAACAGAAAAGCAATTTAAAGAATCAATGTTACCAGGAGCTACATCTTTGAAAGAATTAACAAGATAGATAAGCTAGATTCATGAGGAAACAAAGAGAAAATATTCAAATAAATTGGATTAGAGATGAAAGCAGAGAAATTACATTAGATCCTTAGAACAAAATTACAGGTTCAGATGGGTTCACTGGTGAGTTCTATCAAACATTCAAAGACAATTTACTTCTTCTACTTCTTACCCTCTTCCAAAATATTAGACACAGGAATCCTTCCTAACACCTTTGAAATTAACTTTACATTAATAACCAAAGCAGACAAAAATATTCCCAAAAAAGAAAATTTCAGACCAATCTCCCTGATATTCATTCATCAATGCAAAAATCTTTAACAAAGTCTTAGCTAACCAAATCGAACAGTAAAGTAAAGGCCCTCCCGTTGATCATCGATTTGCTCGAGTGGGCCCAGTAACGTCTCCATTGGAGACTTTGTTGTTACTGTGTCTGGCATATCGAATACGTCACGGGGAGCTTGCCAGGCTCTGTCATGCGGGCGAGATACTCTCGGTAGCTTGCAGGGCTCTCTGAGAGGGGCGGAGGAATCGAACTCGGGTCGGCCATGTTGGCTGCGTGCAAGGCAAACGCCCTACCGCTATAAAAAAAAAAATCATACCACCCAATCAAGTAGGATTCATCCCTGGGATGAAAGGATGGTTCAACATACACAAATTAGTTAACTTAATAAAATGAAAGATAAAAATCATCTGATCATATTATTTGAAGTAGAGATAGTCTTTGATAAGATCCAACATCCATTCATGATGAAAACCCACAACAATATAGGGGTAAAAGGAACCTTCTTCAATATATTAATAACATAACAAGCCCACAACTAGTATCATCAAGTTGTGGTAAAGAGCTGAAAGAATTACCTCTGGGATCAGGTACAAGGCAAGGATATCCACTCTATCCATTTCTATTCAACATAATATTTGAAGTACTGGATAAAGAATAAGGCAAGAAAAACAAATCAAAGGGATCAAAATTGGAAAATAAGAACTCAAATTATCACTATTTGTAAATGAAATGATTGTATACATAGAAGACCCTGAGAGTCCACAAAAATTAATACTTCTAGAAACAATAAACAAATGCAGCAGAGTGACCGAGTACAAAGTCAGTACACAAGATATAGAGAGAACGAATTAGAGGAGAAAGTAATCAAGGAGTCTCTTCCATTTAGGATGATATTTAGTATCGCAAAATACCAAGTATCTAGAAATTAGCTCAACAAAAGACATAGGGGATCTATACTATGATTATTTTAAATCACTTAAGAGATAGAAGAACTTAGAAAATGGAAAAATATCTCACGTTCACGAATTGGAAAAATCAATATTAATTGTAGGATAACACTGTTCTGTCTTTGTTCTTGCATAACCTCAGGAATAGTTGATAGTTTATTGGACTGAGGAAAAGAGAAAAACATCTGAAGAGGTATTTTGCCCTTGGGCAGTCAGGAAGGGCTTTCTTATGTTGATTTGGCTACCTGACTGGGTGGAGTGTCAGCCCAGACTAGAAGGGAGCTGGAGAATGAGAGAGCAGGGCTAAAAGATGGACCACGGAGAGACTAGCAAGGAGAACTTGTGCTTGAGAGAACCTAGGCCCTCCATAACATAAATTTCTTCTATGGAATAAATTTACTTGTAATAAACTACTACAAAGATCAACCGGCATGGCCCTCATCTCTTCCTTTGTCTGCCCTTGGCCAACAGTCATCCCAATTCAGGCCACACACAGCGGCTCTAGGGCACCGAATGTGGGTGGTGAGATACAGTCATCCAGAGAGCCCGCAAACACACAAACTTCTGCGTGCATAGTTTTTTACAATTAATAAAATGACTACCCAACCTAAACTATTATATAGGATCAATGCAATATTCATCCAAATCCAGACAACATCTTCCAATCTTCCACGATCTAAAAAGAAAATAAAATTTGTGTGGCATCAGGAAAAGTCTACTAACAGCCAAAGCAATACTGAAAAATAAGAAATTGGG